TCCAGAATCAACCATTTTGAGTAATATTGCATGAGTTCCTTGTTTTTTAATGCAGCATAGTATTCCATTGTGCGAATATACCACAGCTTCTCTAGCCATTTGTTTGTTGATGGTTCACTTCTTCTTAACAAATACTTTCATTCTATTTTTTAGGCAAATATCACTTTCTACAATTGTTTGGCAGCCCCTCCTCCTCTCCAGTCCCCAGGTATTTTCCTAAACTATACTATGCTAATTTGTTTAGCAGAGGGAGGAGGAAGCCAATTACAGACAAATTTAAAAGTGGGTGTTATTTTTGTAAAATACGGTCATCTACTACATGTTGTTGTTTGTTGTTATGTGCCATCAAGTAGCTTGCGACTCATAACAACCCTATGTACAAGAGCCCCAAACACTGTTCTGTCTTGTGCTAACCTCTTAGTCTCTGACACACCTACTCCCATTACTCCAATCACTTAATCAATCCATCTCATTGAGGGTCTTCCTTTCCTGTACCTTCCCTCCACTCACCCAAACATAATGTCCCTCTCCAAGGACTAGTCCCTCCTTGCAACATGCCCAAAGTATGTCAGACGAAGCCTCAGAATCCTTGCCTCCAAGGGGCAGCCCGGCTTCATCCTCTCCAGGACAAATCTGTTTGTTCTCCTAGCGGTCCATGGTATATTCAACACTCTTCTCCAGTATCACAGCTCAAAGGCATCATCAATTCTCTATCATCCCTAGTCACTGTCCACATCTCTGATGCATAGCACACAATTGCAAAGACTATAGCCCGGATCAGGCACACCTTAATCTCCAGCCTGAAAGCGTTGTTCTTCAGTACTCTGGAGCGCTCCCTGACAGCTGACTTTCCCAATGCAATTCGTCTCTTGATTTCCTAGCTGCTGGTACCAAGGGTGCTGACTGTGGAGCCAAGCAAACTAAAACTGTTAACTATCTCAATCTCTTCACCATTCATACTGACGGTGCCAAGTGGCCCAGTGGTGAGACTCTTCGTTTTCTTGATGCTGAGCTTCAAGCCACATTGAAGGCTGCAGTCCTTGATCTTCTGCAGCAAGAGTTTCAGGTCCTCCACAGTTTCAGCAAGCAGATTTGTGTCATCTGCATAACGCAGGTTTTTAAGGAATCTTTCACCAGTCCTGATGTCACGTTCCTCTTTGTACAGCCCAGCGTCCGGATGATCTGTTCTGCTTACAGATTGACAAGGTATGAACACAGAATATATCCCTAGCAGATGTCCTTCCGAATTTTCAATCATGCAGAGTCTCCTTGCTCTGTTCTGATGAATGCCTCTTGGCCCAAGTATAGGTTTCCCATAAGCACAATCAAATGTTCTCAGATTCTGATTCTTCTCAGAGTCAGCCACAGCTTGTGAAGCAGAAAATCAAAAGGAACGGACTCGTTCAGCATTTCTTAAGCTAAAGGAACTAAAAAACAAATTAAAGCCACAAGGGGCAATACTTAAGGATGCTCTGGGTAGAGTGTTAAATGATGCAAGAAGCATTAAAAAAAAGATGGAAAGAGTATACCAGAAGTGTACCAGAAGGAATTGGCTGACACAAAAGAATTTCATGAAGTAACATATGAGCTAGAGCCTGTGGTGATGAAGAAGGACGTTCAAGTTGCTCTGAAAGAATTGGCAAAAAAGCAAGACTTTGGGAGTTGACAGCATACCAACTGACATTTTTCAGCAAACAGACACTGCCCTAGATGTGCTAAGTTGTACCAAGAAATCTGTAGGAGAGCCAACTGACTGGATGAGATAGATATTTGTTCCCATTTCAAAGAAAGGTGACCCAACAGAGTATGGAAATTATTGAACAGTATCATTAATATCAAGGAGAGACAGGTCTTTGGAGAGGGATAACATGCTGGGTAGAGTAGAGGGACAGCGCAGGAGGGGAAGACCCTCTGTGAGGTGGATTGATTCAGTGACTGGGGTAATCTGGATGGGTGTGTCAGAGGCAATGCGATTGGCACCGGATAGGGCAGGGTTTAGGGCTGTTGTACATAGGGTGGCTATCAGTCGCAAACGACTCGACGGCACATAACAACAACAACATTAATATCACATGCAAGCAAGATTGTGCTGAAAATTACCCAGAACCGACTTGGAGCAACAGCTCAACTGAGAAATGCACGATGTGCAGGTTGGGTTTAGAAGACGTCGTGGTACTAGGGATATGATAGCTAATGTTAGATGGATCTTGGCAGTAAGATGAGAATACCAAGGAATGTCTATCTGTGCTTTTATTATAACATGAGTAACTGATAATTGTATACACTGACCAAATATTTCCAGAACGACTGTGTATCAATCTATACTTCTCAAGAGTTTGCCTGCCTTTTTAGAAAAGGAAAGAGAAGGAGGAAATAAAAATCTCTTTTGAATCTGACACAGGAAAAAGTGTGCTCTTCAATTTCCTTATTGCATATTACAATCATTTTCCCGAAAATGCATTTTATGAAAACAACTGAAATATTTTTGTTTAATCGACCCTCCCACAGTTCGGCTTGTGAGAACGTCGACAAGACTAGGCACATAATCTTGAGCTTCTGTTGCTGTATTGTGTACCATTCAGTCAGAACTGACCCACTGCCGACTCTCTAGCGCGTTTTCATAAGCAGTTAATCGTACGAGAGGAGACTGCCCAAACGGTTCTACACTTTAGGTCACGGACCCGTTTGAGCATCAGGCAAAAGCTATAATCTCATTCTTAGAAAAATGCATCTACACTCAATATGCAGCCCAGTTTCTGAGCTCTCATAAACTGTTACTGATCTTCACTCGGTTAAGTAAAGCTTTTCTAGAAGACAGGATATTTCTTATTACGAACGGAAGCATATATCCCACTTCCGGGGCCGCGGTGCCCAAAATTAAAAGCAAAATCAATTCTAGTTCAAAGCACCCATAACCCCACAGCTCCGACCAAGCCCAGGAACCCTTTCGCTCCCGTTAGGGCCGCACGAGGGCGACTGCAGTTCACTGCTGTCCCACGATGTCTCATGACATGTGGAATTTCCTGTTCCTGGAGGAAAACGAGCACTTACGAGACATTTTCATGACTGTAACCGATCTTGGCGTTGTAGGCTCCGTTATCCAGCACCAACGTTGTCATTTTTAGCACAATCCACAAAGTCTTAGCGACTCCTGTCTTTCGAGACACTGGGCACAACCCTCTTCCTGAATTCTTTGGTTTTTAGTGGGCGCGGGATTAACACGTGTTTCCGGTCTCCTCAGCAACGGGAGGACGCCGGAAGTCAGGGACGTCAATAGAATCCAGGGAGTACTGTGTTGGGTTTCAAGCTTTGCATATTTTCGTGGTGGCGAGATCTGGGAATATTTGCCCTGCCACCGCGTGATTTTTTTTTTCTTTCTTGGGAAATTTACTTATTTATGCACTTCCCCTCCCCTACATCTTGTAAAGAGTTTTTTTTTTTAACCTCTTGTTTAGCGAATAGTATTGTTTATTGTCATTTCTTGAAGAATATAGTGTAAAACCATATCTTTTTCTTCAGTCACACATAAAATTGTTCTAGTCTCATCCTCTGACATTCCTTGTACTTCTAAAGGATCCATATTATATATGAACTATGTCCCCCTGGTAAACCATCTTGCTTTCTTCTTTAATCTTTCATTACCATTCTCTCTTTCCTGCCTTCTGTATACTTGTTCTTGGGCCGAGTTCACGCGTCTTTCGCTAGAAGCTTCTCTAGACGCAGATAGACTTCTAATAAGCTCCTTCCTCGTTCCCCTTGCTGAAATTAGGCATATTTCTTTTTGCTTCTTGAAATATCCTGGTCTAGGAGCCCCTTGACAGCACCATGTTAACCATATCATCATGGTTAAGAGGGCCAATTTTGGCTTCGTGTACAGGCTGTAAGGAGCTATGGTGACCTAGTGGTAAGAAGCTATGCTCCAATACCGAAGGCACTTGGTTCAAAACCACCAGCTGCTCCGCGAAAGACAGATGAGCAATTTTCCCCCGTGCGATTAACTGCCTCTGAAAACCTACTGGAGGGTCAGCTCTGGCTCAGTTCCGACTCTATGGTACACAACCACCACCACCACAGAATGGCTGCACAATCTTAGGTGATAATGATGATGCTGTATGCCTTTGAGTCAGAACCGACCCATAGCTGACCTTCAGTGAGTTTTCAAAGGTGAATTGCACAGGAGACGATTCCCATCCTTTTCCCACGGAAAAACTGGTTCAAACCACACAGATGATAATGGCTAATAATGGTACAGCATTTCCTGTATGCCAGTACACCAGACTAGGGAGGACAGAAGGAGAATTGACGCCTTTGAGCTGTGGTGCTGGAGAAGAGTATTGAATGTACCATGGACTGCCAAGAAAACAAACAGATTCATCCTAGAGAGGATTAAACCAAGCAACTCCTTGGAGGCAAGGATTCTGGGGCTTAGTCTGACATACTTTGGACGTGTTGCCAGGAGGGACGGGTCCTTGGAGAGGGACATCATGCTTGGGAGGGTGGAGGGACGCCGCAGGATGGGAAGACCCTCTATGAGATGGATTGATTCGGTGACTGGGGTAATCGGGATGGGTGTGTCAGAGGCAGTGCGGTTGGCACAGGATAGAGCAGGGTTTAGGGCTGTTGTGCATAGGGTCGCTATGAGTCGCAAACGACTCGACGGCACATAACAACAACAACAACAACAAGTAATTTCTATGAGGAGTGGAGTAAATTCTGACTCATAGAGACCCTAGAGGATGAAATTACCACAGAATTTTTCTGTATGTAATACGTGCAGTTGTTAACAGAAAGGTCAGTTGTTTGAGTCCACTAGCTGCTCCAGATGAGGGTAGTTTCCTTCAGTAAAGATTTAAAGCTTTAAAACACAGTGAAGCAATGGAATACTATGCTGCATTAAAAAACAAGGAACTCATGCAATATTATTCAAAATGGTTGACTCTGGAGAACATTATGCTGAGTGAAATATCCCAGTCACAAAAGGACAAATATTACATGATGCCACTGTTGTAGAATGGGACTGTCCTTGGGGTTAGGGAGACACTGAGTAAGATGGGTTCAATAATGTATACTGCACTGAAGCAGAGGAGGGAGAGAACCGTCTAAAAGAGAGATGTAACTGGGTATTTCTGTCATCACAGGAGACTAGAGCGAGGGCTGCATGATGGAGGGGACCTGGGGGAGGGTTTGTAAAACAATGAAAGAATCTTTTCTTTTACTTTTCCATAATTTTTGGACTCATGTACTTATAACTTGTTAGTCAAATTTGTGTCTTCTAGGTTGCAACACCCCCATGATACATCTTGAAGGATATGTACATGTACAGCCAAGCACAATCAATAAGAGTGCATCTGAATTCCAAAATCAATCTCCATAATAGTCTATGTGTTTCCTACTGCCAAAGGGGCCCTTTAGAGTAGTGAGAGAAGATCTTCACCCTGAAACCCACAGCGTCCCTTTTCAGCAGGAAGTAGCTAAGAGAATACCCCGTCCCCTTTTCCTTATGACTCAGGGTGAAGTCTCTCTCAGGGAGGAGTGATAGGGAATGGCAAAGGATACACTGACAAAGAAGATTAATCAGAACTGGCTTTGACAAGCACTGTGGCATTTGGACAAGAACAAACTGGGAGGAGGGTAAAGAGAATAGTGCAACAATGAATGAGTGGAAGCCCAAAATCTCTGTAAATGTTTATGAAAATTAATAAAATATAATTATAGAAAAAAAATAAAACACAGTGAAGGTGTTGCTATGAGTCAGAATTGACTCAATAACAGTGGAATTTTTAAATACTTACTGAAAACAAGTGTAAAAGTCTTTCTTCTTATTGAAATTAAAGAGAATTGTGAATCAGTCTCTAGAATAAAATTCTGAGACCAAATCGTAGTTTTGCCACTAACTAGGTTTTATATATTACTTAACCTCTCTGAACCTTATTTCCTTTATGAACAAGAAAGAATAATATTCACATGCAAAATTGTTTTATGAAGAATAAAACTCAAGTACTTAGCAGTTATTATCACCTTTTATCATATAATTGTTCTCCGTTAACTTACTGCAAAAGGAGCGGATACAATGTAGGGGTGGCCAAGTCTGACCTCTACCTGCTTAGTAAAGGGGAACTTTGCCCAACAATAATATCCATGTTATTCTTGTTGTGTGCGGTCAAATATATGACCTTCCAGCAGATTTTCAGAGGCAGTTAATCACACGAGAGGAGATTGCCTATCCTTCTCCTGAGAGAATCCTGCTGGCAGATTCAGTGTGCCTTCGAGATTGTAGCACAGTTTCTTACCATTAGGCCACCAGAGCTCTGGACCCAACGATTGGTAGGAATAGGTGCAGAAGCACATTGTCTCTCCCTTCCCTATGCTCCTGCACCTATTTCTACCAATCATTGGGTTTGATGTACGGTGCAAATTTACTCACAGATTTTACTCATAGTTGTGGGGTTTATTAGGGAAATAGCTTAGGAAATCAGGGAGGCAAAGAATATCACCCAAATGCAAGTCCAGGTTTAGTCCAGCAGTTCCAAGAGAGCTTAACAAGGCACAATTCTTCAATTAGTCAAAGTTCAAGTTCAATTCAGCAGCACAAATGAAAGAAGCCTCTGGTTTCCTCAGTCATTCAGCAAGCTTTCTCTCAGAGCAGTTACAAGTCATCTTTTTCTTCAATCATCCAGCAAACTAATCTTTCACTGAAGCTTCATCTCCAGGGTTCCTCTGGTTACACCTTGCCACAGTCTCTTCACAGCAGTGCCATGACTCTCTTCCTCCTCTCTCCACCATCTTAGTCGCCCTTACTCACAGTGTGGAAAGTACTTCCTTATATTGTTTCACAGCTGTTGATTTGCAAGATCATGCATCTGCAATTAAGGTAGTTAAGAAGATGATTCCTCCCCAACAGGGGTTAAAGTAATGGTTAGAAATGCCAATTTTTGAGGGTCCTGACACCTATGTGCCTACATAGCAAATTCCTTTAGGGCAGGCATTCTAATTAATTAGTATCTTTATCTTTGGATGTTAACTGTCTGCTTTCATTAATATTTACAGCCTGGAAACCTTTTGTGAAATTCTGTATTGAAGGATGTGCAACCAGGGTGCTTCTTAGAGGCAAGGATGATAAAACCTTGACTCACATATTTTTGGAATATTGTTGAAAGTTGCAAGTTTTTGGAAAAAGACATCATGTTGGGAAAGGTAGAGGGTCAGAGAAAGAAAGGAAGACCCTCAACAAGATAGATTAACACAGTGACTGTAACAGTGGGTTTGAGCATATCAGAGATAATAGAATGGGAAGGGCAAGGTTTAGAGCTGTTGTTCACAGGTCCACTATGATTTGTAGTCAGCTTCTTGACATCTAGTAATAAGAACAGTATCCTTAGAAAGGAGTCCTAGTGGTACCTGTTGGCCTGATTTCAGAAAGGTTACCAGTTTGAGTCCCTCCACTGTTACATAGGAGAAAGATGAGGCAGTATACTTTCATCAATATTGCACAATTTTGCTTTGTACTATACGGGCACAGTGAGTTGGAATCAACTTGACAGCTTGGTTTTTTAGTTTGGCTTATATGTCTGCAAGCAGCAGTGAGGGAATAAAATGAAATATTGCACTGGGTAAATCTTGTGCAAAGAATCTCTTCAATCTGCTAAATAGCAAGTATGTCACTTTGAGGAGTTAAGGTGCACCTGACTAAAGTTATTATGTTTTACATCACTTCTTAAATAATTGTGAAAGTTGGGCAAAGAATAAGGAAGAATAGAAAACAAGTTGATGAAAAAAATTTTTTAAAGGAACAAGTTGATATCTGAATCATGACACTACCAACAAATATTGAATGTACTAGATATTGCCAAAAGAACAAACAAATCTTCCAAGAAATACCGTTAGAATGCTCTTTCTGCAAAGGTGAGGAGGATAATGACACTTTGCCTCACATTCTTTAGATATGTTACTCGGGAGACTAGTCTCCAGAGAAAGACATATTTGATAAAATAGAAGGTCAGGGAAATAAAGGAAGAGTCTTAATGAGAAGGATTGACATAGTGATTACATGTGTGGGTTCCAATACAGCAACAATTGTGAGATAACCTAAAACCAGGCTGTATTGTTCATAGGGTTGTTCAT